GTACGGGTCATCGGCGGCTCGCAACGCCAACAAGGACCTCTAACAAGCCCAGGCGTCGCTTTGTTATAAACTTACATGAACTGAGCAATTGGGGCTTTGAAGCGCACTGCGTGCCTTGTGCCAGAAGAAAATGAAAAGAAATCGTTGGTAAGCCTCTTGGTAAGCCCGAACCTCTGTGAAATGGTGAAGTGATGTGAAATGGTGGGTTCACCATCTCCAAATCTTCAGCTTCCGCCAGCATCTTCAGCGCCTTCCCATGGGCAGCTGGACCTTCTCGCTCCCGCTACTCGGAGAGTTTCCGTTCTGCGCGAAGGAGAGGCAGCGAATCCTGGCAGTGCTTTCACCACGGGAAAGGACTGAGGATGCATGCAGAACTGGAACAACTCAGTTGATGCAGGACAGTGGGGGAACTGGTTTGGAAGACTGGGTTGCTTCTAATGAAATACTTTGTCTAGCTACTGAGTTGCTGCATTGTTCTGGTTGACAACTGCAATGTATGCGGTGATCGATGAGGACTTTAATGTCGTAGCTCAAGGACAAGTGAATCATAGGAACTTGGCGTCATCATACACTCCAGAATTGTGGCATTCATTGTTGCATGCTTGAAGGCATCTCAGCCACTGGATACCTTTTCGGACTCACTTTCTGTCGTTCAACCGTCTCATGAATTGTTGAAACAGGGGTCATTGGTGACGTTGCGCATGTGGTTTCCATGAGGAAGACCGTTTCCGACATGCTGTTGAGGATTCATCGGGTTCCTGCTCACAAGCTTGAATCCTGACATTTCCTGACAGTTTGCTCGCGGAGGATCTGGCCCTATTGCACAATCCAACATGTGAACACATCACGCATAAGAGACGTGCAGATTTGGTTGCAAAAGAGCTCGCGCATCAAATGGCACCAGTGGAACAGTTGATGTGTTACAGGCACATCATCAGCAAACAATGCGATCAAACATCATCAGCAATGGCTCGTGGAATTGCGTGAACTTCGAGACACCAGGTCTGTGCAGCAGGAGTCTGGCCTCAACGAGATCAGCCGTTTTCTGCAGTGTCAGTTGCGGCTGATTTTCGCAGTGGTTGCAGGGATTGAGACCATCCATGTTTCCGTGGAAGCCGAAGGTACCCAACATTCCATGCCCAGCCGGTGGTCGAGTTCTGAATTAGACTGGAAGACTTTGCACGCTATATCTTTACAAATCACGTCGCTGGATGACAGATTCACAGCACAGGGAGACTTTCAGCTTCAAATGTCTTCGAGCGTGCATGCAAAGCCTGCACATTCCTGCATCAAAATGACATGTGATGCAAATCCCAGCTCTCTGCTCCACTCACCCCAACAACCGCGCTTAAGGGGAGAGTCATGCCGACCAACGATGGGTGTCGCTCGGTTGACGGAAACCGTTTCACCCAGACGCTCGCACGAGGAGAAGACACGACAGGTCGTGTTTGGCTCGCATCGTCGACGCACGACGCAAATGTACGAAGGACGCGCTGTCTTCGCACATCCACTCGATGGTGGTTCGTGTCTTTTGTGGTTCGACCGCATGTTTCAATCGGGGATTTTGGTGCTGCTTCACCCTGTGGTGTTTTGTAAAAACACGCTCCATCCACGTTTCACGATGCGCTTCAGCGCGAGGGGCGGGTAAAAGCATGGTAATCCATGTTCTCCTTCTCCTCCTTCGCCCGGGTGGCGCCGCACGCGTCTCGCCCGTCCTTTTCCGCCCTCGCTCGCGGGTTTCGCACCTGGACTTGCGCACGGCCACAGCGGCACTGAGGAAACCCGCTGCACCGAAGAAGTTGTGCGAGAGGTCGGCGCCTCGGTCTACTGGACGACCGGAAAACGGGAAACGTCGTGGCCACGAAAAAAGCGGTAGGGGCGTGTTTGAATGTTGCCAACTTCTGGGTTCCTGTTATCTGATCTTAACTTGAGCTAGGTCATGAATTTCTTCCCCTCTTAGTTCTGCGGATGAGTCAAACGTCTTCCAACAGCTGGCCCCCGGGCGTTGGAGCCCCACGAAGCCCGCCTGTGCCGATCCGAAGCGACCTGGATGGACCTGGGGGTGGGAACTACATTCTGACTCACAGTAGCTTTTAGTGGATTGAGAGTAGATGGCAAGGCAGGAGGGTCACTTGCCCGTTTTTTACAGCCACCAAACTTGGGATTGTGCCATCTACCGTAGATGGCACAATCCCAAGTTTGGTGGCTGTAAAAAGGAGCCCCCATCTATAGAAGACATGTAGGACATGCCAGTGCCATCAAACCTCTGAAACCACTACAAACATGAGTTCCATGAGGTACTGGGGATCTACTGAGTACTGCCGAACATTGACGTCTAAAAAAAACTCACACTCTGACGAACACATCACATGGGAACATAACCTGCAGGAACTGGAGGAACGCAGAGCAACAAAAACTTGAGAGAGGAGGGGGTGAACGAAAGGTAGCAGGTAATCACAAGTATCCCTGGTAGAAGTCCATGACGGCGTCAAAGGTGGATGGATGTCACCCAAACCGCGACGGCGCAGGGGGGGGGAATGATCCAGGGCCCCCCCCGTCGAACAGAATCATGTCTTACAGGACCAAATTCAATGCAAATTAATCACCAAATCCTGATTGTAATACATGTTTGCTAAAGCAAGGAGAACTCAGGTACTATGTCTGGCTCCTTTCGTGATATAGAAACATGTCTGGCTACTCGTCTGGCTATAGACACACATGGTGGAACTAGAGTGGGCCTTGCAGATATGTAGATGAAGGACAAGAACATATGGCCTACTATGTATGGGGATGTGGAAGGCGAGAAGCTCCTCTACTAAGAACATGATTTTCCCCGTGTTCATGTCCAAGTGTGGGTGCATTCCTGAAATGCATGGATTCAACAAGCCAGGCGTGTCGAGTGCAATTCTCCTTGGTCAGCAGGCCATGTAGCACACATGGAAGGGTGGGATATATCATGTATGATCATATTGTCAAGTGCTACCTTGTCTTGAGTCGTATGTAAATCCTGCCTAAACCAGTGTTCGATGTGCTTTGTGCCTAGGAAACCTGCCCCGGCTACATGAAAAGTAAACCATCAGTAGGGCAGCAGCGGACCTCTAGCACTCGTCCGACCTCCATGAAAGATGCTTCTTTTCCCTTCAAAGTCCCTGACGATGCGCAGGTCAGATATGAATTGCTTCAAATTGCTGGGCAACTCCTCGAACACTTGCACACGCACGGCGCGCGAGAAGTTGCCAGGAAAACAAGATGTGGAAAAGCTCAATCTACATCGGTGCAGGCAATGGTGGCCACACCACTGCAGGTCTTCATGGTAGCAGGGCGTGGCGGCGTACTTCCCATCCCCAACCACGGGAGCCCCAATGAAGGCCATGTGCAAGCGAATTTGGTGTCGGCGCCCCGTCATGATGTGCACCTGTGGGGGGAGGGAGCTGGTGCCTCTGTCGGGAATGATGTGGATGCAAAGAAGTGGCGGAGTTTTACACGTAGTTCATTAAGGTTGATGGTGCGATGTTCCTGTGACCACAAGTTGGGTCTCAGGATGTCACAGGTCGTGTTGGAGTTGATGATTCCTGATGATTCCTGATCTCACTCTCATGTGGTTTCAGAATACTTGCAAATGGCGATCCCTGCCAAACCCCCGTGCTAGTCTGCATCTGCATTCGAACGAAGCCTCTGCCACTCGCTCCGTTCCCAAAGAGGCGCCTTCACAAAGCTACAGCAGCTACTCCTCTCGCCACGGGCAGTTGTGTTGAAAGGACTCACCAGGTGCTTGAGAAGCTTCAATCGACTTCGGGCGCGCTTGCCGTAGGCCACCACGCTGGGTTTCTCGCTGAGGCGGCCCAACCAATGGACTGCTGACTCGACGGAGCGAGACGAAGGGATCCAACCTCACGGGATGCACGCAGCGCCCACGAGAAACGAGTGCTTCGAAGAAGAAAGGACCGGGTAGTTCCAGGGGCCGGGTGGATGGAAGTCCAAGGGAGCAGCTCTATTTCTGCAGATGTCGCTGTAGAAGCAGGGGTGTTTGGACTAGTTTCCTGGGTTGCTTGGGATTGATCAAGAAGAGTGAAGCTTACTGTAATGGTACCCCTACTTGGCATAACATTACATTACTTTACACTTGGCCTCCCTGTGCAATCCTGCAAAGGGGACCCCCCATTACGGCCATAGAATTCTGCAAAACATGACCATACAAAAAGCTGTTCAAGGATTGCATGCTTGGTAGGTTCCTCAAAATCCTCTAGCCAGCTCTCAGTTCAATTGTTTACATCGAGGAAGGATCCCAGAGCATTTCCCCAAAACAAAATCACAAATCCCCACGGGGGATCTGTGCACAATACAAAACCAGCACAAGATAAAGCTAATGCCATTTGATGATGCCAAATGCCCCTTCTGGAAACGCATTTGCAATTCACCGTTTCAAGCGCTTCCGTATATCAGTCCTCTCCGTCAACCAATTTAGAATGGCCAAGTCGCAATCCCAAATAAAGGAAGATTTACGTTTCACTGCGCGATCCCATGTACTACAAATGTTAAATTGCCAAGTTGCTTGTACTGTAAATTCCTACGACTGTATGTCCATTTATACGGCGATGCCATTTCCGTGTTTCCAAAAGGAAGACGCGAGCGTCTCGACTCGGCCAAGAGTCGGCCATTTCACCACGACTCCGGGGTGGGGGGCTGCTTAGCTTGGCATGCATTAGACCCTGGTGAAGCCTCTTGAGGAAAGGACACGACCACAACACGATGAAACGCTACGACTAGTGAGACCAATTTTGGTGGTAGGTCGTGAGGCCATGCGCAAGCGAATTGGTGCTGAAAAACTTCAAACTGTTGTCGGCTTGTTGGCAATTGTAACTTACAAAGGAGCAATCGAAAGTATCAACACTGAACACACAAGATTTCACATTAAATCAACATACTCATAAAGCATGACAAGAATCTACAATTGGCCCCCAGAACTGAGTTCAATGGCCGCACCCACCAAAACAGCCTGCCTATGGTTGCCTTGCTGAGGCACCATGCCCAAGCACCATGTAATCCCTTTGAATCTCACCCAGCGCCAGTTGCATCTTCAGGTCATAGAAGGCCCTGGGGCGGTCGAAAGAACTGAGAGCACTACAGTCACCGCAGCTGAAGCTAGTCATTGCATTTCATGGCTATTCTTCACCACCTTTCGATATCACACAGAGCTACCTTTTTTTCTGAGGTCTGTCGCAGGGGCGGAAGTCCACGGTGCCAATATGCACTAGCCCTTCACATGGACAATGCGTGCCCTGCATGTCTATAGATTCTAGATGATCAAAAGGTTACCAACTGTGAATGGAGTTCTCCTGAACCACCACCTTGGAAAACATCCGACTGGATTTGGTGGTTGGCAGGGCGAATCAACTGCCCCTGGTTTGGTTCGGTGAGTGCTCCAGCTGGCTCAACAGCTCAACTGCTCGTCCAAAAATTCGGCCTCACATGGCGTGCCGCCAGGATCAGCCCGCTGCTGGGCACGTCCAGTCGATGGAGAAACCCGTTCTGCGGCAGCGGAGCCGCTCCGCGCCGCGGAGTCGCCACCGCGCGGAGGAGCTCTGAGAGGCGACGACCCGACGAGGCGTCGCTCGGGGGAGCGACCTCCTCGTAGTCCACCTGACGGACAAACGGACGGACGGGCGGCGGGAAATGGGTGCCATTGAAATGGATTGAAATGGTGTTCATATTCCGGTGGCCAACAAGCACTGAATGATTGCAAATGAGCTAAGTACAACTATTCCATACATTCCATATTATATACCCACCAAATGGAGGATGGGAATTGTGACTTGCTTTCTGCCCAATCTTGGCAGGGCAATGGCTCAAAGATGCTCAAAGACCTCCTGCACGTTGGCAACCCAACATCACTTCACCAATTCGGCTTTTTGATCTTCTCAGAGCCATGGTGAGACACCAGAGTTTGATTTCATGGCCCCACCTGCCACCCTGGCGGCTTGGAAATGACCACCTGCGGCAAACAGCCCATAAGCTTTGGGATCTGCGAGTTCGTGACGAGGCGAATGCTGCGAGGCACTGCGAGGGGCGCGTTTCGGATAGTTTGGAGTCCAAGATGTCTGCCCGAGGCGGATGAAGCTGGCACCAACTAGGGGGGGACACAAAAGGTGAAAGGCACACTTGATTCACGAGTTGAGGAGGTGTGAGCCCACTTTGATGTTGATGGGCAAGACAGTCCTAGGAAACGACTTGAGGGGCAGGCTTCAACCACGACATCCCAAACGTTTCAGTTTCAGAGCCCAGCAGTTTCAGGAAGAAAGAAAACACCCCGAAGGAGTAGTGCGGAGCCTCTACTCTGATTAATTAATGACTGTAATTGAATACTCGTTGATGGTGTGAACTCACTCGAGGCATATGATTTGTCGGTGGGAACAATCATCTCGAGCAATAAAGGCTTGACCACAAACATATCTGAAACATTCCGAAACCACCACCACCCGGTATGAAGAGTTGGAGTCACTGGTCACTGGACTCCTTCAGGTGAGCGCATGCCGCACGCTTGCTCCCACCTGATCTGGAAAGATCTGCATGCCTGGGTCAACCTGGGAGCTTTTGGCCCAGCTCACCACTTCCACTGGGAAGAGCTGGGGCTCTAGGTTGAGCGCGTTCCACATGGCAAGCCAGACTGCCTGGGCGGCTGACCTGGATAAGGAGTCTGCAAAGGAGGAGGACCAGAAAACGGTGAAGGCAGCGGCTGCAAACTCCCCAAGAAGCTCTTCAAGCCTCAACTGACTGGCGACCTGGACCATCTGAACTTGTAGCTCCTGTATGGCCAATGGGGTTAAAGGGCTTGAAGGCAGCATGCTCAGAGACCATGCCAGAATAGCCCTCTCGTTGATGGTGAGCTGCTCCCCATCTGCCAATCGTTTCCACACCTCCGAAATCACCTGCGACCCAGAAGGCCTGGCAGGTGAAGCGGCAGCCCCAGTGGAGGCCATGGACCAGGCAAAAGCAACCAACTTGGAAAAGTCCAGGACTTCCAAGTTTCCACTTGGACTGAAAGACGTCACATCTCTCCCCCAAGCTTCCAAGGTCGATTCCGATTCCTGGCGCACGAAATCAAGTTCGCGCCAGGAACGGCGGCGTGTGCGGACCCCGAAGAACAAAGGCCATCGTGGACGCATTGAAACCAACTGCCCAACTGCGCCGGGCTTGAGGGGACAAAGATCGTTGAAAAATGGTTCAAGTTGTAACACTCCTGCCCATGAAAACGATCGAACCCTCAACGTCCTGAGCAAATGCACCTCTTCTGGCGCTTCTGGTCGGCACCAAACTCGTCAGCTTCGCTTGGCTCCAAGCATCTCCTCTCCAGTGACCAGCAGGTTCAACCCAGGTGCCCCCCGGTTCCCCGAAAGGATGCTCAGAAAGGAGTGTGGCAAGAAACATTCGACATGGAATAGGACCGCATCCTTTCAGGAGCGTGGACGATACTTTTCAATTGCAATTGATCCGCGTCTCTGTCTATGTGATCTTTGGCCCTTGGGGGGTGAACACCCCGGGAGGAGAAACACAAAAAGAACACCTGCGTAAACCAAGGGCCCACCATGGCGTCGAGAAAGAAACATCGACGCACAAGGCCAGGATCCACTTCCAAAGACTGTTTTCAAAAAGTCAAAATGTAGCCCTGCTTCATCTTTCTCCTGTGGCAGTTCCTTCAAGTGAAACCTTTTTCATCCTTTTTCAGAATATATACATCCGTTGGACTTTCTTTGATGCTCGGGAAGAAAAATGCCTGGACATTCCTGGAAAGAAAGCAGAACTGACTATATAATATATGTGTATATACATCCGTGTGAAATTGGCTTGGTAGAAGCTTAAACCCAAAACGTATGAAAACTCACAATAATTGTTGGGGAACCTTTTCTCAGACTAGAAACAAAGGGCATCACTACTAGGAGCAAGGGCGCTACTAGTAGCTCCTGGCATCGCTACTAGGAGCAAGGACTCTACTAGTAGCTCCTGGCATCGCTACTGGGAGCAAGGACTCTACTAGTAGCTCCTGGCATTGCTACTAGGAGCAAGGACGCTACTAGTAGCTCCTGGCAACGCTACTAGGAGCAAGGACGCTATTAGTAGCTCCTGGCATCGCTACTAGGAGCAAGGACTCTACTAGTAGCTCCTGGCATCGCTACTAGGAGCAAGGACGCTACTAGTAGCTCCTGGCATCGCTACTAGGAGCAAGGACGCTACTAGTAGCTCCAGGCATCGCTACTAGGAGCAAGGACGCTACTAGTAGCTCCTGGCATCGCCACTAAGAGCAAGGACGCTATATAGTAGCTCCTGGCATCGCTACTAGGAGCAAGGACGCTACTAGTAGCTCCTGGCATCGCTACTAGGAGCAAGGACGCTACTAGTAGCTACTGGCATCGCTGCTAGGAGCAAGGACGCTACTAGTAGCTCCTGGCATCGCTACTAGGAG